AGATATCTAAAGGGTGATCCAAGCCTAGGGATCTTCTTTTCCAACAGCAAGGATTATGGAATAAAAGCTTTTTGTGACTCAGATTGGGCAGCATGCCCTGAAACTAGAAAGTCAGCCAGTGGCTACATTGTGTTACTTGGAAACAGTCCCATCAGCTGGAAATCAAAGGAACATTCCACCATCTCTTTATCTTCAGCTGAAGCAGAATATAGAGCAGCTAGACAGGTTGTGGGTGAGCTAGTTTGGTTGGTTACACTCCTTGAAGAGCTAACTGTACCCATGAATCTTCCCATTCCAGTGTTTTGTGACAGCCAAACAGCTTTGCAAATAGCCAGAAATCAAGTGTTTCATGAGCGCATAAAACACATAGAAATTGATTGCCACTTTGTTAGAAAAAAGCTGCAAGAGGGACTGATATCTTTACACCACGTTTCTACCAATGAGCAGCTCGCCGACATCTTTACCAAGTCCTTAACTGTAATCAAACATTCAGATCTACTCAGTAAGTTGGTTGTGCATTCCTCCCTTCCAACTTGGGGGGGGGGGGGGGGGGGAGTATTGAGATTAGCTATTAGTTACACATTGTATTATATTTATTTCTTTCCTCTCTTAGTTAGCTTAGTTGGTAGTTATTAGATGTTAATAACATTAGTTGATAGTTGTTGTTAGTTAGTGTATAACTGTTGCCAGCTGTCAAGTGAGTGAGCAAGACAAGTCACATGTACATACATATAGGGTTTTTGGACATTCTCTATAAGGTGAATATTCAATTTTACATTTTCCCCAAGTTATGCTTTTCGAAGCTTCTCACTTCTCTCTTCTCTCTCAGTTAAACTACTGATTCTTCCGCCATTAGAGCTCGTCTGAGCTCAATCTTATCTCTGTCTTTTATGATTTTGTCATAAAACAATTTGGATTTTGATGTAATGCATATTGATTTTTGACAAATTAAATCAAAATGTGAAAAGAGTTTCAGAGTTTTTAATTTTTATTTTTTTTACTTCAACATTGGCACGAAATCATGACAAAGCGTCAAACAGCTTCGTGTAATTTAATTTGGGACATTGGGTGTACCATTTTTGGATCAAGTTCATGTTTTAGTGCATGCAAAATATAACTTATGTGGTGGAAAAAATAATAACATGCAAAACAAGACACATGTGAAAAATATGAATGCATGTATATTGCCCAAAAAACCGATGTGTGCATTCGAATCGGTTTATCGATAAATCGAATCGATTATTTATTATCGGTTTATCAATATCGGTTTATCGATTTCGATTTCGATTTTATCCTCTTATTGGTTTATCGATAAACCGATAAGATATACTAAAAAGACAAAAAAATAATAATTTTTTTTACCCTAATTCTATAATACCCTTCCCTTTATCCTAAGTCCCTAACCCTAGTATTTCCTCTACCAAATTTAAGGAATGATCATATTTAAAGCTCAAAGGAATGAAGTTCAAATTAATGGAAAACAGAATTAGCTGTGAAGATGTATTTTTTTTTTAATACCGTTGGAGTGTTGGTGACATACATTTGATTTCTTACTTGAGTTTCGTTGCATGTGCTTGTTGACACAATTTTTATGTTATAAACGGTGTTCGTCTTATTTTAGCTTCTTTTTGTCCATATTAGTTAAGCGTGTTTATAGCGATATACTTTCCGTGGAATCCCGCAAATTTTCTTATTGGTGTAATCGATAACCGAATTGATAAGCCCCAAAAATCGATAAATCGAAATCGAAAAAATCGAACCTTATTGAAATGATAACGGTAAGTATATGTACAAATCGATAATCGATAAGTAATTATCGATAAGGGTCAAAATCGAATCGATAAATCGAATGCACACCCGTACAAAAAAGTATATGTTGGCTAGATTTCTCTGCATTAAATGGAGTTTTAGTCCCGTCAAGAAATGTGATTGGATAAATAGAATACCTCAAATTTTAACTAGATATTTCGGTTTTGAGCCTTAGAAATATAAAGAATCTTAATAGAAAGCGCATTCTATCTTTAATAGGCATTACATAGTCGGTGCTCTCGAAGAAGGTATTGAACAGTAGTTGACAAAAAAGTCGTAATCTTATGAATAAGATTGAAGCCCTACTACTAAGACACTTTTAATATCATGAACAACTGTCTTCAAAAAAAATTTCTAAATAAAAATAAATATGTCAGTCACTACTGTTTACAGTAAATATTAAATTTCTTTCAAATTTATCTACCATCCATTTTTCTTTTCTTTTTATTTAACAATCAAAAGCATTTCTCGTGCAAAATTATGTAGTGTCACGTAACAGCTCATTAGTGATATTATCTGCTCTGGACCTAGACTCTTACGGGTTTAAAATACGTCAGTAGAATTAAGACACATTTTACTTATATAGTCCCCCTTAGGGATTCACCGCACCAACATCCCAGCCCACTAGTGATATTGTCCGCTTTAGGCGTAGGCCCTCACGGGTTTAAAAATGTCACTAGGATCTAAGGTCTGTTTTACTTATATACCTAACATCTCTCGTGTGTTTTGTCGATGTGGGATTCTTCTAGGGTGTCATTAGGGGTGTCAATGGTTCGGTTCGACCGGTTATTTTATAAAATTTGTACCATACCAATTTTTCGGTTATTCTATTATGTATAACCAAAATTAGACTTTCGAAACCGTCCCAATCATGTCGGTTTCTCTTCGGTATCGGTACGGTTCGGTTAATTTTGGGTATTTTTTTAATATCATGTAAAATTCACCAGTATAAGTAGAATGCAATAACATACGTTCTTTTATAGGACTTAGCAAAACTCTCTACGCATTTTTATTGTTTAAAGGGTGATAAATTAAAAAAAAAAATGGCTAGAGTATAGATTCATCAACTATTCTACAACATCGTAAAAGAAATCAAACAAAGGCAAAGAAAATATAAATCACACGAGTTGAAAGATATACCAAACTGAGACTCAAGAATAAAGTCTATAGAAGATTAAATATTCAAAAAAATAAATCTAAATTATATGAAAGGAAACATATTCAATACACTATAGTTTGCTACTCATAATCGCTAGAATACTTTGTGTCTTGCTAATAAAGATACTTGAAATAACTTAGTTTAAGTAGAAGTAGCATAATATGTTTTAAGAATTAGTATTTTGAGTTTAATTACTTGTTAGCTTGTAATAGTTTTCATAATTCCAAGTCCCAAAGAAAATTTAATGCATTATTATTTTTAAACTTACTAAGTAAATATATTTTCTACATGTAAAATTTATTTGGTACGGTTCGGTATTTTTTCGGTTTATTTTTATAAAATAAAAACCTACCCTAATTATCGGTGTTGTTATAGATTTATATAAACACCGACAATTTCTTAAAAAGAAACCTAAAAATCAGTTCGGTGCGGTACGGTTCGATTGGTTTAGTCGGTTTTCGAATATCCATTGATACCCCTGGGTGTCATACCCAACATCTCTCCAGTATTTTGTCGATACAGAATTCGTCTTACGATTCCTTTTTCTTTAACAATCAAAAGCAATTCTCGTGCAAAATTATGTAGTGTCAAGATCAAAGATCGGTCCCAAATCAGAAAAAGAAAAAAAGAAAAAACAAAAGAAGGAGAGAAAGACAAGGAGCAAAACGCTTCTTTTTATGCAAAAACAAAATTTTATCATACCAACAAGATCTAAAGGTAGGGCAATGGTTTAGATTTGGGCTTTTAAATGTTTTTTTAGTACAGATTTGGACCACAAAACCATTTGTGGTTAAAGCCCATTTAGAGGGTCAGTTCTCATTTTCTGAAAATGACTCTCAAACCTCTTGGAATTGACCTACATTCATGCCATTCATTCAGATTTCATACATCCAAAATCTACAAAATATGAGTATAATTTTAATGCACTGTGCATTAAAATTAAATTTAATAAGTGTTTTAAAATATGTTCTCCATTTTTTTCTTCCTTGGATTGTCTTTTTTGTTTACTCTTGTGCTTTTTCGAAGTTTACTGACTCAACTAATTTTAATTCGTGCATGGTATATTTAGTAAGGGGTGTAGAGCGCACCTTAAAGTGAGCGCAAGAACTCTAGTTAAACATGAAAGAATTTCAACCACCCCTCGGCATCCGGGGCCGGATCTAGTACAATAAGTATGAGTTTACGTTAACCCAATAACTTTTGCCTAGACCCTGTTTTTGTTTTAAAAAGTTCATTAATTTTATAAGAATTTTAAGGTTGGAACCTAGTTCATTGATCCGATTATTATTAAACTGAATAATTTGATCAAATTTGACGATCAAGTTAACAAGAGTAATATAATAGAGCTAATGAGCTATTATCACTTTCAAGTACTAAAAAACAAAACAATTATACAACATTTTTTTTATGACAATGCAAAATTAAAGTAAAAGATAATTATCAAAATCAATGTTGAATTAGAGACAGGATAATACCTTTCTTGAGATGGTTACCTTGTTGAATTTCTATTAGCTTCTCCCCAAACTTATAATGAGCATAAAATGTACTATGTACACCAACAAACATAATTAAGAAAAGGGGGAAAATAAAAAATAAAAAGCCAAAGAGAACAGCTTTTTGTGTGTGTATTTTTTAAATCTACAAGAAAAAATAAAGCATATGGAAGAGAATCAACCTTAGAGAAAAAGAAAAAAGAAAAGCAAATAAAAGCAGAGAAATAGGTAAAGTTTGTATATATTTACTTTTCTTACTATTACAAAGTCTTGCTTCCTATTTAAAATGGCCCTCTAGTGCCAAAAGTAGCTCGGTGCATTGAGCTTCAAGTTGCTCGGAATATAAAGAACGATCGAATCACATTAAATCTTATACCGCAATCTTATCTTGCATTTTGCAAGATGCGTGATCTCCGAATCATACGGAAACAACCGTTACCATTACTCAAAAGCTCCCCTTCTAAACCAAATCTAGTGCTATGAACAAAAAAAACATAACCAAAAGAGTTCATTACAAATCTTTCTTATTTCAAGAACTCTTAAGACTTAATAATCAAATTACTATTAATTTCATCTCTTTTGCTTGTACTTTTCCTCCCATCTGAATTTGTTTTTCTAAAAATCCATTTCCACACTTTCTTCCCTTTACCATTACTACTACTACTACCTCTTCTCATCCTTGTGTCATATTCATCAATTCTACAAGATCCACCTCTTAGATTCCCCATTGAAGCTGCAGAATCATATCCATAATCTGAAATATTACTAAGTCTTTTACCATAAAAATCTGATCTTGGCTCTGATGATGATAAATCAAGTTTCAAATCTATAAATGCTGAATCATCCATAGTAGTACTAAAATCACTTTCCTTAATAGGAAAGGTATTACTTCCCCTATTTGGAATATTAAAATTCTTGAAATTACTACCACTCTTTCTTGGCTCATGATCAGAATCAAATAACAAACCACCTGTAACATCAGATATTTTTGCACTTGAAAATCTATATTCACTACCAAAATCATCACCTCTAAAACTACATAATGATCTTGATCTTGAAACTCCCATAGCTGCATCAGATACACAAATATCACTTTTTTCATCAACCCCATTTTTACCCTTTTCTCTTTTCTTTCTAAACAATCTCTTGATTTTCCAAAAACCATTTTTGTTTTTCTTGATTTCTACACAGTTGCTGCTACTTCTTAACAAGATCACTTGTTCTGCTTGTAACTGCTGAGTTGATAAATCTTGATCATTATTTTTCTCATTTTCTAATAAAAATGAGATTCTACCAACACTACCAACTTCAACAGAACAAGAGTTTCTATAAGAAGAAGAAATATCATCAGAACAAGAACAAGAAGAGAGTCTTTGCTCACCACACTCAGTACATACCAAATTTACCAATCTTTCTTTTAAACAGTAACTGCAGATTCCAACAGTAGATGAATTTGGGTGTTTGGTACATGGCATATCTGATGAAATAGAGTAATTGAAATCTAACAAGTTGTTGTCTACAGCTGCAGCTTTGCCTCTATCCTTCATGGTTTCTTGAAATTCTTGATTATTTGATGAAAAGAACTGGTTTTTTCTAGAGAATTTTGAAGTGTAGGAAATGAAATGAACAGGGTAGTATAGTATGTAACCTTTTTTAAGAGGAAAAAAAGGGGAAAGAGAGAGAATGGAAGAGTCCACTTTACGTTTGTTTATGAAAGAAATAGTAGCAACTGCAACCGTGGGGTGAAAGGTTGGAGAGG